TGACACAAATGTTAGACCACTGGTATTGTGACACAAGTCTTTTTGACTCTGGTAACTTAAAAAAAATCCTTCTTCACTGATATTGTTCAGATTGGATAAATCTATTGAGCTATCTTCAGGTTAATTTACTGAACCTATGCAATAAATATTCAGTTTCTGTTCTTGTATGTTTTTCAGTTCTAAAATTTTACTTTGGTGTCTTAAATTTTATTTTATGGAAAAAATAAAACAAAATGTCACAACAAAAAATAGGAGGATAACAGTATCTTCAAAGTAGTTACTCAGATTACAAGTATGGGCATAAAAAATTCTCAAAAAATGATATTAGCACAAATCTTTCTTTTTAGTGAATTAAGAGAAATTAGTGTATAACTATCTGGTATTTTTTTCCTTTTCCCTTCTTTCTTTTCTCCTTCCCCCAAACTAGTTCCTCTTTCCTTTTGAAGAATTTCTTCCCATTTCAGAATATCTATTGTACATTTTGGTCCTTATTTACACTTTCAGTTTCTCACATTAGGGAAACAATATGATGTTTACACATGTAAGTTTGGTTCATTTCACTTATGAGTATGGACTCAAGTTGTACCCATTTACCTATAAATGTCTCAAGTTTATCCTTCTTTATGGCTGAGTAGGACTCCATTGTGTAAAATGACCACATCTTTTTTATCCATTCCTCAGTTGATGGGCATTTGAGTTGTTTCTAAGATTTAGCTGTTACAAATTGTATTGCTATAAACATGTACTGCACTTACATCTCTGAGGTATGATGTTTTAATTCTTGCAGGAAGATACCTAGAGGAGGAATAGTTGGGTTGAATGGGACATCTAATCCTAGTTTTTTGAGGATTTTCCATACTAATTTCCACAGTGATTGTACCAGTCTACATTCTCACAAAAGGTGAAGAAGGGTTCCTTTTTCCACACAGCCTTGCCAGCGTTTGTTATTGGTTAATTTCTTAGTAATAGCCATTCTTTCTGTGGTGAGATGAAAGCTCAGCATTGTATCTTCTATTCTGTTCCACCAATCCTGAAGTCTGTTTTTTTTTTTTTTTTTCCAGTACCGTGCTGATTTTATCACAGTAGCTTTGTAGTATAATTTCAAGTCAGGGATTGTGATACCTCCTGCCTTGCTTCTGAGAATTGCTTTTGCTATTCTAGGTCTCTTCTGGTTCCAAATGAACTTTAGAAATGTTTTCTCTAGTTCTGTGAGGTATGCTAATGGTATTTTGATTAGGATTGCATTAAATCTATATAATAATTTTGGTAGTATGACCATTTTCTCATTGTTGGTTCTTCCTATCCATGAGCAAGGCATATCTTTTTTTCTGATATCCTCTTCAATCCCCTTTTTCAGAGTACTGTAATTTTCAGTCTCTAGATATTTTACTTTCTTTGTTAGATTGATTCCTAAGTATTTCATTTTTTGGATGCTATTGTGAAGGACGTGGTTTCCCTAATTTTCCTCTCAGTGAGTTTGTTGTTTGTGTACAGGAATGTTATTGAATTTTGAGTGTTGACTTTGTGTCCAGCCATGTTACTGAATTTGGTTATTAAATTTACAAGTACTTTGGTGGAGTTTTTAGAGTCTTCTATGTAGACTATCAAGCCATGTGCAAATAATGATAATTTAACTTCTTCCTTTCCTATCCTTATTCCTTTTATGTCTTTCTCTTGTCTAATTGCTCTCTATTTCTCTCTTGAGACTTTTTATCTTTTTGTTTACTTTGAAAATTTCCACACTTACTTATTGGAGAAAGATTTAGATAGTTGTGGAATCTTTGTCTCATTTCAATGTCTATGTTTATAACTGTTGTCTTTTTTCTTGTGAAATGTCAAAATTTTTCTGATTATAAAATAATTATAGATTTTTATCTTAGACATTTTGAATGTTATGTTGGACTCCAGGTCTTGTTAAATCCTGTGGGAAATATTTGCTTGTTGTTTCAGCAGGAAATGAACAAGTTAAGGTTTAGGTTGCAAGTTGCTAGCCTACGGTGGCTATGGTACCATGGCTTTTGTACCTACTATGGCTTTTCAGTTTTCAAAGCCTTTGCAGTACTATTTCGACCTGTCCTGTGTGTGACATCAAGTGGCTAGTTTCAGACTTAGGCAGTGGTCCACCCTGCAGATCAGTTCTCAGTGGTTTCTGTGTGCTGTTTAGGGTCAGACCCATACATGTACAGGTCAGGTATGAGCCCAGTAGTTCACATATGCTTTTATAGGGTTTCTTTCTTGAACTTTCTTTTTATAATTCCCTTTCTTGCCTTTGGGTGCTCTTTCCTGGTATTCTGCTTCAGTTTTCCTTGTCCGTTATGTATTTTTCACAATCGTATCCACTCTGGGGACCAAGTGGTGAGAGGGCAGAGAGAAAGGAACAGGATTCCTTCTGCTAACTCTTGGATTCTCTGGTCATAAGGATTCTCCTCCCTCTGAGTTTTGTTTTCCCTGCTATGATGGTTTCTGTGCCACCATGGAATTGCTTGAGGGCTGGGACAAAAGGAGAGAAAACGTCAGGGCAATCTCTCAGCAATTCCAACCTACAGGGGACCCTTTTATCTCCTCAGACAAGAGAGATGGTGGTCTCTTCTGCTCCTCTTATGTGTTCCTTCATTTCATTTTGCTTTTAAGTCCAACCTGAGAGGCAGATTGAAAATGGAAAATTTTTGGTGGCCCTTGGAGTGATTCCCCAGTCTACCTGCTACTATTTCTTCTGCAATTCCTCAAATAGTTCCTCCACATATCTTTTAGTTGGCTTTTAATTGCTTTCAGTGGGAGAGACAAGGTCAGGTGCCTTCTCTCCATCTTGATTGGATCCTAGAGATGACTCCTTTGCCCATAAATATGTCTATATCTATTTCTTAAGATGAAGGACTTTGTCTTACATGACCCTACCGTAATGATCAAAAATCAAAAACTTGGCATTTTTTGTAATACTACTATATAACTCAAAATTCTTTTGATCAGTTGTTCTGGTGATTTTCTTTGTAACTTCTTTCCATGGTTGAGATCATATTGAAAGTCATGCATCAAATGTAGCTGTCATGGTTCTTTTCTGTCCCCACCTATAGTTCAGTTCTTTAGCCTTTGTCTTTTATAATTTTAACTTTTTAAAAAAATTTTTAAAAAATTTTTTATTTTTTTTGGTTTTTCTCCAGTACCGGGAACCGAACTCACGACCTTGCGCTTGCCAGGCAGGTGCTTTGCCGCTGAGCTAAATCCTCAGCCCCTTAATTTTAAAATTTTAAAAAGTATAGGCCCAGTATTTTGTATAATATCTTTCCATCTGTACCTGATATTTCCTCATGACTAGATTCAGGTTATGTATTATTGGCAGAAATATTGCACATACAATGTTGTGGTCTTCTTAGGGTGATACAACAGCAGGTAGATAATGTGTACTTGTCCCATCTCTGGGAACCTTATCTTTGATCAGTTACATAAAGTGCTGCTTAACAATTTTCTACAAACTACTATTTTTATGAGTTTCTCAGGGGCTTGAGTTTGAAAACACTGCACTGTTATGGGGAACACACTATTTCTATCCATAGGACTTTCTGTGATGATGGAATGTCTAGTTCTGCACTGTCCAGTGCAGTCATCAGTGTCACAGATGGCCAATGAGCACTTGAAATGAGGGTCATGTGACTGAGGACTTTCAGGGCGTAATTTGAATTTAAAAACTTTCATAGAACACACTCTACTAGCATTTTATTTATTTATTTATTTTGGTTTTTTTTTTCTGGTACTGGGAATCGAACTCACGACCTTGCACTTGCCAGGCAGGCGCTGTGCCGCTGAGCTAAATCCCCATCCCCTCTACCAGCATTTTTTAAAGAGTGAAAAGTACCAGGTATGTGTTTTACCAGTTTCCAAAAGTGCTTTGAGAAGAAAGGGCTGCATGGTTAGATAACTGAGGGATCATTCTCCAGAGCATATTTTGGAAAATGCAATCCTATATGCTGCCATGTTGGGTTCTATACATCATTGTTTTCTAATTTAGCCCAGGGAGAGGTATAGGTGAAATTGTCAGCCAACTATTAATCTTTACCCCAAATACTTCTTTCATTAGTTTGTATAAATGACTTACTAATCAGAATAGCCAAGTCAGTAGCAATTCATACATTCATTCATACCTGTGTCAGCCACTTGATTCCAGTACACAAGAAATGACAATGGAGGAAATGGTATTGAAGTTTAGGCTGCCTCATGAAACCCTATAAGCTGATAGAGTTAGACATATTATTTAGCTGTCATAATCACTTACTGTCATACCGAGACACATCACCTAGAACCCACAACTTAAACAAAGAGAGATTTATTTAGGCTCACAGTTTTGGAAGTTCAGTCCATGGAAGGTTGGCTACAAGGCAGAAAGGGCATGGTGGAATGGTCTGGGCAGAAGGAAGCTGCTCCCATCAGAGCATCCAGGAAGTGGGGACTTTCTGGTTCACACCTCTGGTGACCCATCTCTAACCAGGCCCCATCTCCGAACAGAAAGTCAGCTATGAATTCCAAGAGGGCAGCATACGGCACCAACATGATCCAATCGCCTTCCCAACCCCTGAGGGTTTTGGGGAGCGCTCTAAGGCTAAACCATAACGTTAATGTACAGATTCTCTCTTACCAATTTCAAAACCAGGAAGTGTTTAGCATTGGTAGAAAGCGGTCACCTCAGTCTTTCTAGAAGAATTAATATCAGTGGCCGTTGTCCATGCACAGCACAACTATCTGAAGACGTAGCTTTCTATTTAAGTAGAATTTCTGAAACAAAGTACTGGTTCATACCCTACTCAAAGTCACTCAGGCAAAATATTCTCATTCAAATGTGATTGCCACAGAGGGTCTAAACGTCTTTCAAAACTTCACACATATTCAGCTACTGAAGGGAATGTAGGGTAGTTAGAATGAATAAGGGCGGAGACTCGCAGGGGAGAAAAAGGAGAACAGTTTGCACAGACAAAAACCTCTTAAGCCAGTGACAAGAGCCAGTAGTTGGTTTGTGTCAGAGAGGAGTGAAGTAAATAGTCTTTCTTCTTTCACTTCAGCTATAGCTCCTTTGGGAAGCGCTTCGCTGAGCCAGGGTTGAAGAATTTTATTTCCTGTAACTGTAAGTATTGTTTGGATTGGCTTGCTCCAGTGTCTGAGAGCTGTAGTTTGAAGAATTCTTAAGCAAAGGGACCTCATATAGTTGGTGAGTTCAGAATCCGGATAAGATCTTGAAAGTCGTCAAACATTGGTGTCCGAAGCTCTGATTTTGAAGGTTATTGGGCTTTGAAAGCAGAAGTTTTGGGAAGAATGATTTCATCCCCCATAAAAACAGACTGCATTTTCTTTTAAGGTACCCAGTGGAAGTTATGACCCAGAAGTGCCCCAGTAAGACATTACAGATGGCTATTTCCGTGTGCTATTTGGCACATGTTCAGGAAAACCACCAGGGACAATTAGCTTTGAAATACTGTGAGTTAGGATATGTACTGCGATACCCTGAAAAGGGACATTTTCTTGCCAAATATAACAGTCAGTTAGCAAGTGGAAGTGTAAAAGTTCATATTTTCATGAAAATCTTAGCAATGAGTTTAACAAGGTCATTTGTTCCATTTTTTTCCATTCGTCACTGCCTACTTCACCACTAGAGGGCACTGTTGGCAGCGATATCAAAAGAAAGCAACGTGGAACATTTTGCCAAAAGCATTTTGAGATTTTTTTCAGCTTTTATTTCAGCCAATAAATACAAATGTAAGTTTTGCACTTACCATTTGTGCTTAGATGTTAATGCATTTCAAACACTTCTAGACTTTAAAGTGCATTAATTTAATAAGAGAAAAATCATTGTCAAACTTGGTCCCTGTTTTTAAACAAATGCTAAATTTAGCATCTGTCAGTTTCTCCTCCTGCAATAGTATACACTCACCCACGTCGCGTTTGGGAAGGTTATCAAGCAGTTGGAGACTCATTATTTTTTATTTCCCAAATAGAGCAACAATTTTATTTTCCAAAACATGCCTATCCTGGTATTTGTCAGAGTATCTCAAGGTGGTAAGGAACCTTCGATTTCTTTAGTGCAACCCTATCATAGACAGAATCTTTTCCTTATTGACAAAGGGCAATCTCAACCTAAAAGTGATGAGGTTAGATTTTGGGTTTTTTTGTTTGTTTGGTTTTGGTTTTTTCCGGTACTGGGAATCAAGCTCATGACCTTGCGCTTGCCAGGCAGGCGCTGTGCCCCCGTGCCGCTGTGCCGCGAGATTAGCTTTTGGGGAGCAACTATATTCTTTTTTGGAAAGGTCATGTGAAGGTAATAGTTTGCCCCTTTGGTATTTACTGTATTAGAGAAAATCTTTGAGCTGCAAATGACAGAAACCAAACAAGCCTTGTTCATGTTAAAAAAAAAAAAGCCAGAGTGAAATTTATTACCAGGAAACAGAGGCCTCGTGGGCTGTGGCTCACGGAACCCCGGAGATCTGTCAGGACTGTGTCTCTTTCCGTCTCTTCCGTCTGCTTCCCTCTCTGCAATGACTTCAATCGTTTCTCTCTGCTTGTCAGTATTTTCTCCTTGCATTTCCACAGTCAACTATGCTATTTGAACGAGTAAGAAAAAAATCACAAAGGGGCTTTTGTTACCTGACTGGAGGTTGTTCCAGAATGCTATGAAGCCAGCTATCTTTGGCTAGTGCTGGTTTGTGATACCATCGGTGGTCCCCGTTGTCATCAGCCACTCCCACCCCTCATCCCAGAGAAGCAGGTCTCTTGGTTGGATGCTTTTTGTGTGTGCGAGTTTCTAGGCCTGTGGCTGAGGCACGTCATGGGCCCCTGGGAGTGGTGCTAGCTGAGGCTTTGCAGGTAGGACTGGCAAACACATACCTGGCAGAGCTGCCTGTCTCTGTGAGGATGAATGGCTGTCCTCGCCAGGACGGGAGGGTTCCATTCGGTCAGCCTGCAACGATGTGGCTGATTGACTGGCTATACTAGGGGTTCCGTGTTGGTCCGGTTGGATATTCAGAAGCAGCAGTAGCTCGACTGGCATTAGTAAGCAGAGTCTTGCTAAGGGCTCACGTAAATCTTCAATTGTGCCACTGTGTCCACTCTGTCCCTGTATCCGTTATACCTGCTCTCCGAGACCCATGACAAGAATGTTAGCCCAATGGCAAGTGGCTGAGTCATTTCGTCTACTCTGATGCTCACTGCCTAATCCACAGCAGATGCTTTCTGGTGGATATCCATAGGTAATCCATAACTCTTCATCCTTCTTGCTATCACTCTTCTACCAACCCACAAGCTTTCCCTCAACACCTCGCTTCTGATCTTGCCATTCTTATTCTCCCAGTTCCCTCACCAGACAGCCAAGGCCACTGGCACTTTCTTGAAATTACGTATATTTTCATCTGGGGTCATTTTTTTTCCTACCTAAAGCAGATGACCAGCTTTACTGCTCATCCCTCTGTCATTGGGAAGATGTCCTCTCCACAGTCTTTCCCTGAATATGGTTATAACAAGGCCATTATCAATATTTGGTTTGCATTCACATATTGAAGCAATTCATCTGTACATTAAGTTTGGGCTTTTTCATTTTCTTTCATCTGGCCATATGGCACGTTCCCCCTCCCCCTAGGTCCATAGGTGCAAGATTGACAAGCACTGGTGCAGCTCTGCTTGGTGACATGGGGCCTTGATTCCCTACTTATCAAACTTACTATTCCTATTCAGGCTCAGTCCCAGATATAGTAGCGATACATTTTATGTTGGTTTGGGGGATATTTTTGCAAGAGGAAACAATATAATACAGGACACATATTTTATAAGATTATTTATAATAGTCACCCAAAGAATGATATACAAAAGAGTGCAGGAAATCTGTCCACACACTATAGACCAAGAATCCAGCCAAGGCCCTGGATCCCGCAATAATGTCCTGCATGAGTCCAGCTGAAGATCTAGAGCCCATAACAATGCCTCCCACGAGTCTACCTGGAGGCCCAGAGCCCATGACAATGTCTCATGCAGGCCTGTTTCACGGATCTGCACTGGGAAGGCCAAAATTCAGTGGTGGAATCTAGGAAGTCTGTGCCAGCGGGGTGAAGGATCTGTGCCAGTAGGCTGAGGGATCTGCACTGGAGCCAGGAAGCAACGCTCAGAAGAACCAAAGCTCCCCCGAAAGATACCACAGCCATCTTCAGCAACAGTGAGGTCCGGAGCTCCTCTGATGATCAAGATGGCTGAATTCCTGTCAGGAAAGCCAATGCAGCAAGCTTCTCCCAGAGACTGGTAGTGCACCATCTTCCCCTCTGGAGCCAGGAAGCAATGCTCAAAGTGAGGACCAGAGCTCCCCCAAAGTGAACCAAAGCTATTCTCACTGCAATAAGGTCCCGAGCTCCTCGGAGGATGAAAACAGCCAAGTTCATCAGGAAAGCCAGCATGATGAGCTCCTCCAACAGAACCAACAGCTCCTTACAGCTTCCAACAGCCTTCCTCAACTCCCAACAGCCTCACTTCTCCTCCTCCAGTTCTGCCTCTTATGCTGCTGGCAACAATCACCAGGTGGGCCTCCCACACCCAGCACCACACTGACTCAGTTCAGCTGGGGGTTATAAGTTGGCTGCCAATAGACTACAGTTAAATTCATGTGGCTTTATGCTTTAGTGGCTTCTATAGGACCAAGTACATAACAAGCATTTTAGATAGTCATTTGATATCTCATGATCAACTGCTTCACCTCTTCCAGGATTCAAACAAAAAATAAGAGCTGTTTTTCAGAGGACTTATAACTCTCTGCAGCTGATCACATGGCTTTGTTCCAGAGTCCCAGGGTCTGAGTTATGATTCTTCCACTAGACTTGCCAAAAGCTGTTACTTCATCTTTTCCCATCACATGACACTTCAACACCATGGGCGTCTGTTGGATCCTATGTCCCAAGTGACAGTGCTGATTGCCCTGGGGCCTGATCCATCTTTGGTCTCACTGAATGCTGATAGAAACATTTCTAAGCATTGGATGCATTTCCTGTAGAGCTCAAAATGCCAACAGGGGCTGCCCTTCCTTTTCTGTGAAGGGAGATGGAGATGTGAGATACAGAAATTTATCTCTTCAGAAAAGATATCCCTACACATAACTGATTTAGGGACCCCCGAATTTGCTCAAGATTTGCATGTTTATGATAATAAGAAATGTACATTGGTCTTTGTTTTTGGTTCTTGACACAGAGCTTTTAGAAACCCCTGGTATTTCCTGAGTGACAGTAGTGAGAGGGACATCTTTTGTTATTCATAGCAAATCCCTTTTAATCATGTTTGAGTTTATACAAATATAGTGTATTTGTATGTATACCAATATAGTGCTGATAGTGGCAGGTCAGAGGCAGGTTGCCAGGCATAAGAATAAGACAGTACCTGGAAATTTCAGCCTTCCCTGGACCTCATGGGAGAGTGAAGAGGCAAAGATTTGGTTCACCATGCGTACTTGATAGAACCTCCGTAGAAACTCCTAAATGATAGGCGCTTGCAGAGGGTCTGAGCTGATGAATCCACTGGGGTCCTAGGAGGTTGGCACACCCAAAGGGGGTGTGGAAACTCAGCATCTTCCTCACTGTACCTTGCTCTGTGAATCTCTTTCCCTTGGCTCTTCTGAGTTATATCCTTTATAATAAAGCAGTAACATTAAGTACACTGTTTTGCTGAATTCTGGAAGCTATTCTAGCAGTTATGAAGTCTGAGAGGGAATCCAAATTTGTAGATAAGTTGGAAAGAAGTCTGAGTAAAGTAGGGGCTTGATACAGCATTGTGGGACTGAACCCTAACTCATGGAGTCTCGTGCCAACTCCAAATAGTACAGGAATTCAAATGAATTGTGAAACATCCAATTTTTTTTTTCCCCGGTACCGGGAATCGAACTCACGACCTTGTGCTTGCCAGGCAGGTGCTGTGCTGCTGAGCTAAATCCCCGGCCCCTGGAGAGTTGAAGAGAATGCTGGTATGAGGGAAGACTCACATGTTTGGTTTTTCCAAGACCTCCAGCATACCACTGCCTCTGGCTTCCACACAGTAAGCATGATGTCATGATAAATGGATCGGTGTGCTGTCTGTGGGATATCAGGCAGTTCACATATTATACCGCGATGGAGAGCAGGAGAATTAGCATAACCCCAAAGGTAAAAATACTAATGAATATTGTTGTTTGTGTCTTGTGAATGCAAAAGACTTATCATCATTTATATTTGCCAAGTCAATGACCTCCTACCATGTACCTGAGGCTTTCTATTAATCTTTTGCAGGGACACCCCTTCCAGCCTAGCAGATTTATTTCAGGTACTATTGGCCAAGCATGTATAGTCTATTTAATCAAGCTTGTAGTAGTTCTCAAAGATCTATCTAGCTTCTGAGTCAGACTGAATTAGCCAAATGGAGATATAATGGGAAACATTGTTCCCAGTCATTTAATAGCAGTCTAATCTTTATCGTTCTGCTGGGGAGATGATATTGTTTTTGTTTACTGTTTTTGCCAGAGGTAAGGAGGGAAGTTTCCAATATTTCTGTTTTAAATTCCCCACTGTAATAGCTCCTGTTCCACAGACCCAGTGTATGAGTTATTCTAACTGCAAATCTATCAGTTCTTATTATAAACTGGGGAAATTGATCACAGGGGCTGGGTGTCTGCAGGCCCAGTGTCTCCACTGGGAACATAACTTTCAATAGGACTCCATTTGCTACCTGCCCCTTCTTGGCCCTGCAAGATGGTTGTGATTTAATCTGCAATACTGTCAACTCGGGCTTTAGGTCTAATAGTCCTTGAAATGTTGGTCATTGCCCTTTTCCCTCTATATAGTCACTTGAGGAAGCAGCTGTATATTGCTTTTTGAAGAAAGAGAGGGGAAATCATGATGGTATATATTTTCTGTGGTGTTATGGGGTCTTTCCTTTTAGGAATCTGGACATGTCTCTAATCAGTTGGTCTGGTCATGAAAGAGTGTCTCAGCACTGGAGGCTGAGGAAGGGGCTGTGACCTTTAGTACAACGGGTGCTTTTATCCTTCTGCTCTTCCACGCTTGCTTCTGAAAATGTCATTAATACTAAGCAGCACTCATGCTGGCCACCCATCTTTGCTTCCCCAAGGGACACCACTATGTGCTGTTAACCATCTCTACAGCTTCCTGGGCATCAGTTCGCATGGATTGTCCCTATGACCTTGCTTGCTCTTATATTAATTGTGACCTCCTGGGTTCTGGTGGATAAGAAATATCGCCACTTGGTCTCTGCTGCTGCAGGCTGCTGCATCTACATGGATATGAATGCACCAAACGCTGTGACTGCTCTCCTACCAACATTTCCAGCTGGCGGATGAGAGCCATCCCTGAAACTCTTAGCGATGCTTGCCTGATGGCATTGAATGCTCTGTCCTCTGAACCCTCTCCTGGGACATAGTCATCTGGTAGGGCTGCTGAGATTACATCATTTATCCATTCCAGTGTGCCGACCTCCCTCAGTCACTTCATTCCTTTGTCTACCACCTGCCAGGACAATTTAGGCATTTCTACTTTGCAGGAAGCTGGGCATCTGGTTTTCCAGGCTTCCAAGAACTATCCTGACAGCAAATCAGATTCCTCCCTTAGGTCCTTACTAAGGTGATAAAAATGTGTTCCAGGAGTATGTTCCAAACTTACTAAACTTTTGCTTATCCAGCCTTACATCCCAGCTCTTTTGATCAGGCACCCTCAAAATCTCCTCCCCAGAACATGATGGAAAATTCTTATGATTTTTTTTTCGACTTATAGTTTCCTCCACTACCAGCTGTAGTATGTATTCAGATTTATGCTTGGATTTAATTCTACTCCATGGGCTGGCATCTAGGAGTGGAGGTGGGGGTAGATATTTAAGGCACAAGAGCTGCCATGTCAGGAACAGGCTTTTGTGTAGCATCTTTAGCACAATGGAAGAACTGGTTCTTACTAAGCAAGGGCAGATCACCTCGTGAGCAGAGGGGGTCCAGGGGGCTATCTGGTCAGTGTCTTCAAGTTATCCATGCAGATGTTCCTGTTTGCTAGGGCCATTAGCTTCACTAGGGTTGCTTTGACTGCAGATTCAAGCTCTGTGATCCTGAAAATCAGATCTTCAGCCTACCACATTTTTTTTTTTGCCCTTTTGCTACAGGCAGTTGAGCTTTCTTTGAGCTGCCACTAAATTCTATGGTTCTCTAGCCATTATTGCTTATAAATAGCTCTCAGTCATACATTATTTGTCTGCAGGGCATCAATGCAGCTTATCAGTGTCCAGCCAGCTCTGCTGGTTCTATATGCATCTTTCCCCTTATTTTTCAAAGACCTGCATTATCATACCCGCCATAGCATTCCGATGCGATGGAGTATTTTCTCATGTTAAAGTCACTGTCTTAGTCTCCTTCCTCATTGCTGGGACAAGTGCCCAGCATCTACAACTTAAAGGAGGAGAGGCTTGTTAGCTCACGGTTCTAGTGCATGGTCAGTGGGCTCCAAGGCAGATGTGGCATAGTGTAGCATCAAGGCAGAGGAAAGTTGCTCAAATCCTGGGGGCCAGGAAGCAGTGGGTGCCAAGGGAGGAACCAGGAAAGGAGATATAGCCTTCCAGTGATCCGCCTCTTCCAGCCAGATCCCACATCCCAATAGCCAGGCAGCTATGGCATCCCCACAATCCAGTTATCTTCCCAGCACATGAGGGCTGGGGAACTATTTAATTTATTATTATCATTAATTTTTGAGACAGGGTCTCGCTGTGTAGTCCAGGGTGGTCTTGAACTCACAGCAATCCTCCTTCCTCAGCTTCCCAAGTGTTGGGATTACAGGCCTGTGCCACCATGCCCCCCTTGGGGGCTACTTTAAATCTAAAGGCAGCAGTGATTATTATAGCAATTAAATTGCCTTGTCCTGCCAGGGCTGCGGTGTGCCAACTTCCAGTGAGGAAAATGAAGCATATGTGTGGAAAGGCTGGGAGACGCCCTTCAGTGCAAGAATGCAAACTAGGTGTTACTGCAAGTCAAGAGACCACGACAGAGCAGTGCATGGAACAGGGAAGGTTGCTGTGCAGTCTGAGTCAGACCTAGTAAGGCTGGCAGGAAATTCTTGAGTCCAACTCAGCCATTAGAGTAGCTCCAGTCTCCCGGAGTAGGACTGCGTCACTGATACACATTGGAGGGGAGCACCAGGATAGGGGCCGGGCTTTGGTGTAAACATGGAGTTGGATTTCACCCAAAGCCCTGGTCAAATACACCTGCTGTAGATGGAGGTCTGACAGGTGCATCACAGAGCCTGTTTTGTCTCATTAATGCTGCTGCAAAGCTTGCCTTGTGAATGTATGCATGTTACAGATTTCTCTATCCTTTATTTTATTTAGAAAAGAATCCAGCTTTAGGGAAAGGGAAAGTCAAAAGAACTGAGATGTGTTCTGTATATATACCACTTCCTACCATACGTGGAATCATTAAGTACTACAAATAAGTACTCATAAACCTAAAAAATTTAAAAAAATTTTTTCCAGCTCTATTGAGGTATAATTGACAAATTGAAATTGTATATATTTACAGTGTGATGTGATATCATGATGGATGCATATATCGTGAAATGATTATCACAAGCAGGCTAATTAACATATCCCCTCACACAGTTATTTTTTTGTGTGTGGTGAGTCTATTTAAGATCTGTTCTCTTGGTGATTTTCAAATATACAATATATTATTCACTATAGTGGCCATGATGTAAATAGATATCAAGACTTATTTATTCCATCCTTGTACTTTCAACACATCTTTGTCCTTATATTTAAAATTTTCCTCTTATGAGCAGCATTTAGTTAGCCCTTATATTTTAAAAATATCTTTCAGTACTCTTCATGGGGTTGGTTTGGTGGTCATGAATTTCTTCAGTTGTTCTTTGTCATAGAAATATCTTATTTCTCCATTAATTTTGAAAGATAATTTTGCAGCATACATCCATCTGTGTTGGAAGTTGTTTTCTTTCAGGATTTGCAATACTTCCCTCCACACCCTTCTTGACCTGATGGTTTGTATTGAGAAATCTTCCTTGATTCTGATGGACTTTCCTTTATAGGTGATCTGTTTCTTTTGTCTAACAGCTTTTAATATTCTGTTCTTGTGCTGAGTTTTTGGGATCTTGTTTATTATGTGTCTAGGTGAAGATTTATTTGGTTATGGCTAATTGGGGTTCTATATGCCTCACTTTACTGTATGTCAGATTCTTTTCCCATGCTTGGGAAATTTTCTGCTATTACTTCTGCAAATAGTCTTTTTATGTCATTTGTGTTGATGCCTGCTTTTTTGTTGATACCTATCAGTCTTACATTTTTTTTTCATCATCATGCAGCTTTTGAATTATTTCCTGGTTCCTTGTTATTTTTAAGAGATTTTTTTCCTTTTGTGATTGCTAGCTGCAATGCCGTATTCAAGGTCTAAAGGTCTATCTTCAGTATTTTTTCCAGCAGTTATGCCAGCTTTTAATGGAATTTTTAATTTCCTGGATATCTGTTTGAGTCTGTTTCATGCATTCTAATTCTTTCCTGTATTGTTCACTAAAGTTTTCCATCATTTTCCTATGCTCCTCTATTTTTTAATCTATGTCTTCTTTAGATATACTGAGCAATTCTTTCATTATTGTTGTCATTTCTTTTTTTACCTGAGAGATTATTTCTGATCTGATTTCCTATACAGCCTCATGGTGTTGTTTCTTTACTTCAGTTGCTATCATTTTAGAAATTTCAGCTGTGTGGCTTCCAGTTTCTTCAATGTTGATATCTCCTGGATTTGTTCTGGGAGGGTTGGAGGTCTGAGATTACATTTTGCTCTTTTGTGTTGACATTTTCTATTTCACAATTTTTAAATTTTGTTTTCTGTGATGATCCTTGTGAGTTTTGGTGGCAGGTTGCTATATCACTAGTATCAAGTCCTCTCTAGGAATAGTCTGTTAAGTCAGGAATATCTTCTGTTTACAGACGATATATGGTTTGTGTCTGTCCCAAGATCCTCCCTACCCAATTAATTGAGTGTGGGATGTTGGTTTCTGTTTTGCCGGTCTTTTGCTGTGGGGCTATGGTGATGTTATTACCCCTGAGCTTCCCAATATTGTTACACAAGAGAGAAAAACTGAGATTCTATTCCTTCTGTTAAATTTTTTTCCACTTTGTCAGTATTTGCATACATTTTATTTACCATATTCACAAGAGTTATTTCATTCACTGTGAATTCTAACCTCTGGTTCATCTGTAAGTCTGCTTCTACTATTTTATTTGTTGAAAGCCTTATTTTCATGTTTCTTTGCATGCCCTTTAAACATTTTTGAAAAATGTTATGCTGAACATTTCTGTAAAAATACCCATAGAAATGGAAATAGATATATTTCCCTCCAAGTAGGTCATACATCCTCCATACATCCAGGCAGGAAGGTTGGGGGCTAATCACTTCAGTTCCATCAGAAACCAAGTGGAGTGGAGAATGAATTTTAAATATCTTCAGTTCCCAACTGGTTTCCAATATATTGAGAATGAGTTCTGTCCTGTGCTTTTTTCAGCAGCTCCTTCCACTGGACTTTCTAAGACCATGGAGATCTCTTACCTTTCCAATCCAGTGTCCTGGCTTTACCTGTTGCCCAAAACTTTTCAAGTCTTCTTCACAAATATTGGTTGGTGGATTAGTGGATTGGTGGAGAGGAGAGGCTATACTTTTAGAGGATCCTCTGACCATTATAAACTTTCCTTTCCCTCAGAAGCAGACTTTCTCCCATAGTAAATTTAATTTTTTGCCCTCCCTAAACCCAACAAATGCCACTAAGTAGAAAAAGGATCTTCCCCACCTGCAGTTTAACTCCTTTAGACTTTCATGAATGTTTTAAATATTTTAGTATTTTTAGTTTATCCATCTTTTACCCTACTTGTTACAGGGACTACCATAGGATTTTATATCATAAACTAAAACTGAACTCTTTGAATTATTTATAATGTTTAAAGAACTATACAAATTAGGTATTATTATCTTTAATTTACAAATTAAGGCTGCTTTTAGAGAGGACCGCTTGCCTAACATCATGCTCCTTGTAAGGAATTAGATCAGGATTTGGGACACTTACTGACTCTGGAGTGCATATTCACCTCCCTTCCCAATTGGCCTCATTTCCTCTTTCCATTATAAATGTGTTGATGCAAGGTGATTCAAGAGAAAAACAGTGTTTTGTGCTCAAGTCAATCTAAGAAGAACTGTAGGCTATTTCCCCCTCTTTAAGATTCATAATATCCAACAGCATGTTAAAAGTCTGACAGTAAAGGTCTTGTTTATTAACAAGGTTTCTAAACCTATTTGGCCTCAGGACTTTCACTCACCTCAGCAAGTAAAATCTATTAACACTGTACAGAACTAGAGTTACACGGAGTATGTTTTGCACAAAACGACACTACATTTTCCTGTTCTCCAGATTCTTCTTGTTATGTCATCCTCAAAGGTCATTTCTGCATTATTTAATAGTAATTCTCCAAAGCATTTGACAAAATACTACAGTGCTGAGTTGTATTAATTAGATTATTCCCTACGGAAGAAACACACATGTAAGTGGATATTTACAATAAATCAACTTTAACCTATCCCTTTGAAAAAGGAAAATGGTAAATGTAAGAGGGAGTAAACAATATAATAATATACATTTTCATTTTAAATATATTTTCTGTCACCTAAATTATGAAATGAGTTGTTCCATTGTTACTGGTAATAAAATTATTTTGCAGTATGAATATAAAATGCTATCTTGGAAGTATTTTATATCAAAACAATAAGTATGTCTGACAACTTATATCTATGTAGAGGTCATAAAAACAAAAACTGTTTTCTCCTAAGGGTAGCCACTTCGTGCATCACTACCTTGTATTGATTTTTTTTAAATCTGGATTTGACTTTCAAGGTTAAAATAATGCCTTAAAATATATATTTTGCATGAAATATGTTAAAGTGTGTTTATCTGGTAAAACTTATGACAGAAAGTGTCTCCTGAACTGACAATCAAATTGGTTACCAGTGGATTATCTGAAATTTCTACAAATTCCAAAGTAGAAGAATATCCATGCTCTTCTCTGAGACAGGAGGAATCTTTTCTGTGACTTGAAAGACCATGACCATGATTGGTGGTAAAGTTCTGTATACTGAGACAGATGTACCAAGCAGGGCTAGTATCCTAGAGCATCATGCTAGGCTCTTTCATCCTCAGTACAAAATATCTGCTAAGGAACATCTGGCTACCCTTGACCATGAAGTCTCATTACAGATATCTTATGACAGAAATAAGTGCTGATCACTTGCTCCTGGTATAAGGGATATAGAAATGCAACTACTACATCAGAACAATAGAGCCATCTTCACATAGCCATAATCCAGTTTAACTAATTATCAACTAATTATCATGTAGTCATGGGAGGTAGGCTTTTCAGAGGTGGCTGAACCTAGAGTTGGTGATTGATTCACAATCCAATGCTGGGATTAAGAGTGTGAGTGTTACACCTGCCCTAGGGCAGGTAGCCTGCATAAAATATAAGGGACAGAAAGTCTTAAAGTCTTGTCTCCTCATATGTTGCTTTTGTTGTTTTTCTCCACCATGAACTGTTACCACTCTGCCATGTGCCACTCTGTCTTGGAGCCAGCTGATTATGGGCCACAACCTTTACAAACTATGACCTTCATAAACTTTTCATCACTTAACTTGTGAGTATTGGGTATTTTGTCTCAGCAACAAGAAAAGTAACTAAGACACAGCAGTTCAACTCAAGTGCTGAATCAAGAGCTGGGAGCACTGGGGGATGATGTACTTCACCTTTCCAGAAGAGGCAGTGACTGTCCTGATGTCTCACAGCTGCAGACTGAATTTGTATTTCTGAACTATGGACACAATGCTCTTCCCATCTAACCATGAGGTCACCCTGGCTTTTTGGGGTCATTTAGCATTGAGTCCACAGATACAATAACTTCATTCACTTGACAACCTGGTAAGATATGCAATTGCTTCTTTAAGAAAGAGGGAGCCAGGTGTGGTTTCACATGCCTGTAATCCTAGCACTTGGGAGGTTGAGGCAGGAGGATTGGAACAAATTCAAAGCCAGCCTATAAGTTCACACATAGTGAGTTCAAAGCCAGTCTGGAATACATAGTGAGACTGTTTCAAAAAAAGAATCGAAATTAAAAAAAGTTCAGAAAGAGGGAAGCTCATTTAATTAGCAACAAGCTTTGCTACCTAGAGAGGAGAGGTGGTGTATAGATTTTGGTAAGATGAAAGTGTCTGTTCTGACTGAGGGGCCTTGAGTTGCTCTTTCCTGCTTTGAATCACACAGAATGAAGGCCAACTGAACACTTACTTTTGTTTTCACCCCCACTAAGAAAAAAGTGTTGATTAAAATAAAAAAACCATATAGCTTTACAAAATAAAGATGTTCAGCTGTTAGCACTCTGCAATATTTCCATCCCTTTTAATGGCACTTCCTGTACCTCAGGAGCTGGGAGAATAGTGAATTACATTCTCCAAACTTTCCTTCCTTCCTTCCTTCCATTTTTCCTTCTTTCTTTTGCTCTCTCACTCCTGCTTGCCTTTCTCTCTTTTTTCTTCCTTCTTTCTTTCTCTCTGTCTCTGTCTTTTTTTCTTTTCTTTCTTTCTTTCTTTCTTCCTTCCTTTCTTTCTTTCTTTCATCTTTCTTTCTATCTTTCTTTCTTCCCTCTCCTTTCTCTCTTGCTTTCTTTGTCTGTCTTTTTCTTTCTTCCCTTTCTTCTCTTTCTTTCTTCTCTCTCCTTTATTTCTCTCCTTTTTATTTTCTTTTTCTCTCTCTCTCACTCTCTGTCTTTTTCTCTCTCTGTCTCTTTCTTTTATTGTTCTTGATAATCACCCTCCTTTGGGCTGAAGGACAGCTGTGACTTTAACAGTGATCTTGATCAGGGAGTTTCCTGACCTTTGGGCTACAACAGGAATTTTCTGATTGTCTGGACCAAAACTATCGCTAAAACCTGAAAGCTAGTGGTCCTACACCCCTCACCCCGTGTGAATTTTGATCTCAACTTTTCTCACACTTTGAAAACCTCTCATCCTATGTGCTAAGAGTTTTTTTCTTGTAATACATAGAGAAATTTCTACTTTTTAAGTTAAATTCCTCTCTGACTAAAAATATGTTAACAATTTCTGTGTCTTAGGTTGAAATGGTAGAATCAATTATATCTCTGATAGAGAAGAAAATAGAAATGTACAAAGGAAGTTATAAAGCAGAATAAAGAATCATATTTTTATCTTAAAATGAAAAAGTACAGCTAAGTCATCACTGTCAACATTTTGCTATCTAATTTGAAACCTTAAAGATAAAATGAAGTCCTCTTGAAGTTTCTCCATTCTGAATTTCACATTCTCTTTTCCCTTTCTCAGAATAACCATGTTATCTTTAATATTTTTCCTTATTTTACAAATAAATTATAGTGATATCTGATGTATTTTTTAAAAAGTGCTATGTGCATATATGTTCCATCTTGCAAATTTCCCTTAACAAGACAATTTTGACCCATGTTCACTTGTTTCGGGCTGCTTCATAGCATTTCCTCAGGACTATTCCATATTGTGTTAACATTTTCCTCTACTGATGGACACCTAGGTAATTTCTAATGCTGATTTTACCATTAGAAAAAAATACAGTAATCTCCTGTTGTGTGGGGGTTTTTTTGTTTTGTTTTGTTTTTTTCTGGTACCGGGAATCGAACTCACGACGTTGGCTCCTGTTGTTTTTAATGCTGCCTAATCTTCAGTTTTTAAGAAGTGATGATAGGTTTGTTTTTTAAAAAATCATTTCATATTTTTTCTTGTAAGATGCATATTTAACGATGACTTGTGGCTGGGGATTTAGCTCAGCGGCACAGCACCTGCCCGGCAAGTACAAGGTCATGAGTTCAATTCCTGGTACCAGAAAAAAACCAAACCAAACCAAACCAAAACAAAACAAAACAATGACTTGGTAATATACTCTAAAAACTGAGAAAAACTGATTCCAAGTGATCAAATGAAAGAGAGAGTTTCAATGACCAAGTTTTTTTTCAAGTTCTCTTTCCTTTTCACCCTATTAGGTCATGGAGCTAGAAAGGAATCACTGAGGTTAGTAATTATCCGTGGGTCTTTGTTTTGAGTTGTGTCATTGCATACCTGCTTTCATAGTACTTTCTTTTTTTTTCCCAACTTATTATTTTATTTATTTATTTTTATTTTTTATTTTAAAGAGAATAGTAAAAAAAGGACAATAGCAAAATACAAACAAAACAAAGCAAGGACATTAAAAATGATACGGGGTTTCAAACCAAATGATAGGGATTAACAGTGGTTGTTATACTACATATTGTTATCTTCAAAAAAGTTGCTCAGATTACCAGATGTAAGACTGGAAGAGTGATCAAATCATTAAAGGGAATAAGAAAATAATAATTAAAAAAAACTTTAGTGACAATCCAGAGTTTCACTAGCCAGGATGGTAAGAATTCACCAGTGGTTGTTATATTGCATATTATTGTCTTCGCATAAATTGCGAAGATTACCAGATATAAGATTACCAGATTACCAGACATAAGCATGCAAACTTGCTCAAAATATACATAAAAAATTAAGCATTAGCTGTTCTTTTCAATAAACCACCAGACATCAGCAGTACAGTTATCCCAGCTACCCTTCTATATATATATGTATATATATTTTTTGCCTTAATACTTTCTTCCTTTTTCTTCTTTCTCTCATCCCAGTTGCTCCTTCCTTTGCGCATAGTACTTTCTTGAACCCACATAAAAAGTAACAGTGTGAAATTCTGCTTCCTTTGGACTTTGTTCATCTGTTTTTTTTCTTTTGATCAGTGTTAGTTTATTGCTCCCTGACAAATTTCCCGGCAGTACAGAAATTGATGTCAGAGCACAGTATCTAGCAAGTGATTGTCCAGCATAGTTTTAACAAGAGTATTTACTTGCGCACTCTATGGCATATCTCATGAAGAGAGATAGGCTTTTGCAAGTATATGAAAATGTCATCCCTATTGCAATTCCTACAGAGATGAAAATGAGTCATAGCAGTTGATTAGTTTATGGTGGTGATGAGTCACTAGAACCAAAACATTTTGCAAAGTACTTGGCAGAAGCCCAAATACTCTGGCTTGAGCTACAGAGATATGACATTTTGAAAATGGAAAGAAAATTGTCATATCTTGCTATCTACCCATGGAAGGTATTTGTCAGCTGTGTAGAGGAATATTTTCACTTTTTGTACATACTGCTCCCTGAAGTCAGAACACCCACTCTAACGCTACCACCTGTGACTGCCAAGGTCCTGTTATTCATCACTGAAGATCCATCTTAAACATGGAGCATTTCCTGAGGGCAACTGCCTGCTCCTATCACCGAGCTCCCGAAGTGTCAGGTTTCTGTGGTTATTGGACCACGGGTCATGTGCTGCTGAGGTTTACCTGTCCCTGTAGTTTTACCTATCATCCTCCCCTCACAGGGTGCAGACACCCTGTATAGTTAGTGACACACAGTAAGACCTAATTCATTTTTCTATCTTTGTTATATGATGAGTTTCTGTGTATGTTGGTACTGTGAGATGCTGATGATTACAATAATAATTGACAGCACTTTATGCCTGGTGGGCCCTGAATTTAATGCTTCAGTTGTATTGAAGTTCATTTAGTTTTCTTCAGCACCATCAGAAGTTAAGTACACGTGCTCTTCAACCTATCAGTGCATTCCATCCCAATGAACCTACCATAAGTTGGAAATAGTATAAGTCAAAGAAGTATTTAATTCACCTAACCTGCTGAACCTCATTGGTTAGCAGCACTATACTAGAGAATCAGACTATTTACCCTCATGTTCAAATACCTGACTGGGAACCGCAGCTCCTACAGAGTGCTAGCATGGGAAAAGATCAAAATTTAAAGTACATTTTCTACTGAAAGCATGTCAGTTATACACTATACTAAATTTTTAAAAACATCGTCAAGTCCAGCCATATAAAATGAGGATTATCTATATAGCAATCCCTTCTACAGATAAGTAGACTGAGGCACAGAGGTTAACTAACATGTCCTAAATCACTCAGGTAGTCATTGGTGGAGTGAAGAATTGCTCTTAAGCAGCCTGACATCAGAAGCTACACCCTTAAGCACTGTGCCCTGTGGCCTCAAAGTTTTCCTCAGAGGAGAATCTAAAGACAACTTTAATGCCACGTAGTAAATCATCTTAAATGGAAAAATAGAGATTGTAGTCACTAGAAGATAACGTCTTGGGATTAACTTGAAAGCTGCACTTGAAAGAGTGAGAGCTACGCCCATTTGCAAGGAGGGAAGTCTATGACGTATAGTTAAGAAAACCCATCTGCTTGGGAAATGTACCTGTAGCCAGGCTATCAATAGCAGCTATGGCACAGAAGGGGACCTAAGGTGGGAGGTGAGTTTATCAATTTTTCTTTTTCTTTTTTTTTGCATCATGTCATTGGCTTCAGTGCTACATGCCATTCTTTTAAAAAAGAAAAAATTGGTGAAGATTAATGAAGTGAAATTCTAGGGAGAAATTCCGGAGAAAGTGACTTGCCAGGTCACACCCAGAGCATGTAAGAAAATAAGTTTGCTTCAAAGCTGTCTCCATGACACCCTCACGGCAGAAGCAGTCATTTCATTCCCAACAGGAAGGACTGTAGAAAACGAGGAGATGGGGGCCATTAGGATCTGCCTAGTAGTAGGTTTCATTACTGGATTAGGAGTCTTGTCTGGGTTCTTGATGTCTTGGCCAAAGAATTAAGTAGAACACCCAGAAGGAGCAGCAAGAGCAAGCATTTATTGAAAATGAAAGTATACTCCACAGGGTGGGAGTGGGCCTGTGAGAACTCCTGATCCCCAGAAGGCTTGGTGCTAAGTGTTTTAAGCATTAGGGTTTGTGGTGGGATTGAAGGGTTGGTGTGCGGTTTGAGTCCTGCCAGTGAGCAGCTTGGCTGGGGCCCTTCCATTAGCTGGTGGAGTTTTTGACTTTCTATGGCCCTTGGAAGAACTGTCATGACACCCAAATCCCACGGGGTT